GCGTTAGTCAGTCTCTGTGTGTGTGAAACGAACTGAATCAACATTCCACAGCTGGACTCGTCTTCATCAAAGAACTCCGAGGACGGCTCTGTGTCTGTTTCAGCTGGTGAGTTTACGTTTGTTAACCTGACTGAAAAATGTTGGATTGTATACCTGGATTATTGAGCATGGACTTTGTAGATTAAATGTTCTGTTGAGATCACAATAACTGGTTTATTTGAAATGCCCCTCTCCCAACATGGGTGGGACCATCAGCTTCAACCACAAGACACAATCATCCATCCTGCCATTATCTTTTACCCGCTTCTTCCATTTTGGGTCACAGAGATCGCTGGTGCCCATGTCCAGCCATCACTGAGTGAGGGACACCCTGGACAGGTCGCAAGTCCATCACAGGGACACATGGAGACGAGTTACCAAACATAACTTGTTTTTGGTCTGTGGGAAGAAACTCGAGTACGCGGAGAAAACCCACGCATGCACGGAGAGAGCATGCAAACTCCACCCAGAAGGCCCCTGGACCGGGGTTTGAACCGGGGACCTGCTCTCTGAGAGGCAGCAGCTCTACCAGCTGCACCACCGTGCTGCCCTCACACACAAACACATTTTAAAAATAAATAAAATAAAATAAACTCCCTTCAACTTCTTTATAAGAATTACAAAAAGCCAGAATAGAAGATATTCAGGTGCTGGTCATAAAATTAGAATATCATGAAAAAGTTGATTTGTTTCAGTAATTCCATTCAAAAAGTGAAACTTGTACATTATGTTCATTCATTACTCACAGACTGATCTATTTCAACTGTTTACTTTAATGTTGATGGTTTTAACTGACTAAAGAAAACTTAATTTTTATTGTCTGGAGGAAGGAGGGAGTCCGCTCCTTCCTCCAGACAATAAAAAGTAACATGTGCCCAATAAAATCATGATATCATGGAAATATAGACGTCACAGAACATGGTTCATCAGATGTTGTGACCACACTGTAACTTTTAGTGAAACATTAAATACTTGAGCCAAACCGTTTCTGCGGACTCTCCACTTCCTCTAAGGAATAAAAAGTAACATCTGCCCACTAATATCATGATATTATGGAAATATAAACGGAATATGAGAATCAGGCATTGCAAAGATGTACAAATGCAACAGCGCCCCCTACGGTCACCATATACGGTGGTCACAGAATGCGGTGCAACACCGCATCAGTTTCAAACGAAGCCCGGACTGAACCACCCTGCGCTGCTTCGTGCCGTTTCAAAGTTTTATGTAGCATTTATTTCCACCCTGCGCTGCTTCGTGCCGTTTCAAAGTTTTATGTAGCATTTATTTCCGCACATGGAGGATATTCCGAGATAAAGTAAGAACAACTTGCCCGCCCTCCGACAGCGCAGAATGGACCGGACCTCCTGAACCGTCCGGCGGTGCGTCAGTTTCTCGTCCAGCTCCGGGTGTCTGTACCCTTTGAGGAACCTTTCTTTAACCACGGTCGGTTTTCCTAGAAAACAAGTCCGGTACACACGGGCTTCTGCCCCTTGCTTCATCAACTCTGCAGCTGTGGACAGAAACTGAGGCACCGCCATGCTCGACTTCTTCTTCTTCGGTTCTTCTTCTTCTATTGTTTTACGGAGGTTGGCACATAGATATAAACACGAGCCGTAGCGCCGCCATCGTGGAACGGTCGACCGCTCCACTCAGTGTAACCTGTTTGTCAGGAGCAATGAAGAATCTGCTCATTGAATCAGTCAGAGCTGAATCTAAACTCACTCTCACCATTTGTTCCTCTGTAAATCTCAGGAGTACACACATTAAAGATGAACACATGGTTCAGTGTTTTTAAATATTCATGGTGGGGTTAACATTAACACTAATAAATATTCTTATGACAAGTTTTACAAAACTCACAGTCACTGATACATTTTTATTAATATGTATATATATATATGTATATATATATATATATATATATATATATATATATATATATATATATATACACACACATTATCTAGATCACTGTCATATATACAGTTTAATAATTGTCTTATATATACACACATTATAATATCACAATCTTATATATACATTATATCTATTTTATATATACACACATCTCATATATGTATATACACATATAAATACATACACACACACACACACACATCTATATATGTATATACACATAAATACATACACACACACATTATATATATATATATATATATGTATATATATATATATGTATATATATGTA